CAATTCATTTCGAAGGAGATGCAACAGGTTTTTAAAAGCTACGGGGTTGTTCACGTCAAGACGGGGTTATACTCACCGCAGGCTAACGCCTCTGAACGCGTGAACAGAGAAATTGTTTCGAAAGTTAGAATATTCCTGAAAGACAAGCAAGATCACATGGACTGGGACAAACATATTCCCGAAATTTTGTCGGTTTTAAGAAGCGATTACCATACGTCGATACAGAGCTAGCCTTACTACGCGTTATTTGGACAAAATATGATACAACATGCGTCAGCCTATAGCATACTGGAGAAACTGGGTAGCCTAAGACAAGACGAAGTCCCGATTACAAGCAGAGCTGACAAGTTAGCAAACATTCGCGAACACATACGAAAGAACCTTGAGCTAGCGCAAGACAGAGCAGCGAACACGTACAACAAACGTACGCGGGTTGTGAATTACCGGGAAGGACAAGAAGTATTCCGGAAAAACTTCGCTCTTAGCAATTTAAGCAAGGCATAAATGCTAAATTCTTGCCTAAATATATCAAGTGTCGTGTTCTGCGAAAGGTAGGCAATGCTTTGTACGATTTAGAGGACTTGAATGGCAAACCGATCGGGAGGTTCCATGCATCTGACATCTGGCCGTGACAATGTCATCCGTCACGAAGAGCGATCCGAAAGTAAAGTAGTTTTTTTCCAAAATTTAATAATCACGTTTTTTCTCAAATTTATATATATACACGTTTTTGCAAATATTAAACTTAGCGATAGGGTAAAACCTTGACCGCCCGCAGACTAAGTCATGTAGGGCTGTAACTCGCTTCTGTAACTCTTCCCTACCGATCATTTCTCTGCTGGTAGGGAATATACGTCATTCATTACAACTCCTTAGTAGTAGAGAACAAGGCGGCGAGTTCATATATGAATTCGCCCAGGTAGAGAATCGGAACAGAAACGAGCTACTGGACTAGCGGAGGGGCCGTACTGTGAAGACCGACTAAGTTCGACTCTAGCCAACGAATGTGAATAGACTATCTTTTTTTTTCTCTTACTGTCCTTTTCACTGGGCAAAGCGCCGGTCGGGGACAAACCGCCCAGTATCCTCCCCGAGCATCTATATTCATAGGACGTTCACGCGCGCTCCCACCGGGAGTCGTGAACTGCCTGACATTTCGCACTCCCATTAGGATTGTCTTTTAGGAGTTTTGACGAGTTCTCCTTATCAAAATGTCTAATGCCTTTCGGAGTTTTGACGAGTTCTCCTTATCAAAATGTCTAATTCCTTTCGGAGTTTTGACGAAAATGTCTCCTGTGCCGCAAAGCCATAATGAATAGGAAACAAAATAAATATATACACATTTTCCCAGCCGCCGGACGGCTATAAACTCGCGGCCAAGTGTCCTTTTCAGGACAGCCTGCCCTGTGTTCTTCTTAGCGGTGTTGAACTAGTGGGGGGCAGGGTGTAAAGACCGACTAAGTTCGGCACTTTGGGGGGTAGGCTTCTCTGGCCTAAAATAATAGAGAACCACCGCAACACCGGACTTGAATTTTTCCCCAGAGTTTACTCGGTATAATTCTGACTCAAGCATTTCGAAAAGAACGCTAATTCAACCCACACTTAGTTACGCAGCCGGGATTGAGTTTCCGAGTCGAATACGCCAGGCAAACTCTGGTATAACTTTTATTTTTTCTTCACTACCAGAATTACAAAAACCACCCTGACTTACTGACACCCCAGATTGAACCTTTTAAAACATTAAACTCATTGTTTTATGAATACAAGAATTACAGGAACCCGACTCAGTATTAACTAAATCAGTAGACTTATAGTTCCGGAGGCTGACTATACAGATCTGATCCACCCAGCATTACAGGCGAATACTGACGCGGAAAGTAGTACCGGCGTTACCTTCAGTGGTCCGGTATCATAGAACTAAACTTACTAGTCTCCCAATACTGAGTCGGACGAACCCTAACCGCCACCTGACGGAACTACGGGGTTGTAATTCCTTGCCCGGCTAAACACTTTTTTTTTGAGACTCTATATCTCAGGGGTGAGTCGTGCCCCACGTCCTTGTGATTTTACCACCTAACTCTTTTGCGGACGTCTTGCGAAGACAGTTAACCCTTTTTCCTGTTCGCTTCTGTGACGAGTCGTGAAGTGAAGCAGGTTTGTTATGGGTTACTGTTCGCCGCACAAAATATAAATACTTTATTTTTCGGCGTATAGCGCACCCGGTAGCGTGCCATAAATTTCACCATCTGATAATTTTTCTAGAGCGTATGGCAACACCAAAACTGCATGGAATGTCTGCCATTTTGCGATAGCTGTGTTCCCTCCGCACGGGTGTCGCTAATTGTCACTAGTTCCTTAGGTCTGTTCGCCTACTTTTTTTTTGGTTAATAAAAGTTTACCAGCGGAGGCTAGTGATAGTTGGTGACAGCTGTCTGTAACTGCCGTCTTCACAGGATGGAATTTATAACTTGACAGATCTGTTGGAATGTGGGGGCTCAATACATATCAGGGCTTATATCTTGGCATCTATTGCGATAACTTGGTACTTTGACAGCTATTCCCTTTGTACTAAAACCGGTAACTTTTATCCATGGTGAGACGGTGGGGAAAATTTGCTACGGTGTACAAATAAATAGTATCTGGCTGTGCCAAACGAAAAGGAAAATTTTGACAAGTGAAAAACCACACAAACGCTCGTGCAGAAGCTCTATTTTGTGTGTTGCTGAAATTGTTAAATTTACATATATTTTATAACTTGCAAGTAACGTACGTTCTTTTTGAATTTATCAGATTCCATTTTGATTTTCACTTCTATCACTGCCAACAATATTCTGCCTTATCCTGAGTTTCGCCCGATAATTGTTCAT